GAAGATGAAGAGGAGATAGTGATAGCAAATTCATGAAAAGGAGATAATTAAATCTGATTGTAGAACCCCAAGAGACACCAAGGGATCTCACTGAAGCTGCAGACATCATAGGAGAAACCCATCCACGTAATCAAGAAACTGAATAACATAGTGGTGCATATCCAAAGAACTCCTTCAACTAAAAATAGTGCACTGCAATAGGCTTGCATCTTACTTTAGTAATGACAGTTATATGTCTCTCATTTTGGTTATTGCATTGCCCCAGGTAAAAAGTCCTTAAGGAATAGCTATTTGTATCTATATGTTGTGTGTATATATATAACTGTAAATATTTAAATTTTTACTGCATTTTTGTGTTAAATTTATTTATTAATCTTGATCCATATTTATTTTTTATGCATGTGTGCATTTCTAATATGTAATTGTTGATTTTGTTGATCTGATATTGGTAATGTTCAGAATGTAAAAATTGCCTAAGTGAAATGTGAGATACGCTCCTTATGCAACTGATCTTTCTTGAATGATGTTTTGGTTGTTATTCTACTAAAAAATTTAGGTGAATCATGAGATTACAAGTATTTTGGCAATGGCCGATATTTCTTGCACCATATGGAGAAATTTGTATTTGCATTTTGCGTAAGCTATTTGAATTTTGTCTGTAATTAATTTAATAATAAATAGTTAATTTCTTCCTGTTATTCGAAGTGATCATTCAGTGAGATATAATATAGATAGATATGGTAGCCTGCAACAACATATAAAGGTCTACACATGTACATAATATCGTTTTAAAAAGAATTAATTCAAATTACTTATCATTAATTTAGGTAGGTTGTTTTTCTACAGTCTAATTTCAATTAATTTTTTTCTGCTAAATGTTTTATGAGAAAGCAAGGTTAAGTTTAAGCACTCCAATGAATTTAATATAAAGGACTGCATTATGAAATGTTTTGGAAGACTTCTGTCTGAATTCGAATAAAAAATAAGAGCAGTTGTATTTGGGATTACCTAGATATAATATTTTGCAGCCTAGAAGTATAATTTTAAGGTACTTAACATAAAAATTCTTATGCTTACTATGTGTTATTCTCATGCAGTCAGTCATTTTTTATAGTATTATGTAAGGGAGCTCAAAAGTAATTCAACATGAAATATACTTTCTAGAATATTAGAAATGGATATGCATAATGAACTTTAATGCAAGAGGGTACTAAATTTAGCTATAAAAATATTACACGAATTCATATTCCTCATTTGTTATCCGTTAAGCACAAAGTTTACTTTAATACTGTTGCTGAGTTTTGTATGTATGTGTGTATATTTGAGTTTGTTTCTTCCTCTCTGCTAATTGCTTTTAACTCTTCAGATTTGGCAAAAATAGAAAGCATTGTCAAGATATAAAAGGTAAAAGTGAAGAAGAGCTTACTCAAGATCCAGATTATGTGTTGCAACAGCAAAATGCCACCGTTAAAGAACTGGATAGGTACATACAAATAATATCTTAAATGTGTAGCATTTTATTATATTTAGCCTTTTAATTAAAAATAAAAACTGAATTTTTATTATTTGATTTTGAAAGAAAGTAACAATATTTGCCCGAAATTCGTCAGTATCAGAATTTGTTGCAAAATATGTGTAATTATGTAATCAGGAATTTTTTTCAAAGAAATATTTTTATTTCAGTCTAAATGTTTGATACTACTTTGACTAATTGTTCTGGGATTTTATTTTTGTGCAGTACTAAAATATATTATGAAACAAAACTTTATATATATTCAGTACGTAATTAACATTAAGAAAAGGAACACACACACACACACACACACAAAAAAAAAAAAAGAGAGAGAGAGAGAGAAGATAGAAAAGAAACACCAAGTCCACTAGGTCACATTGTCATTAACTGAAATGCAGCATCTGTATTACATCAAATCGCAGACGGAATTGACAGGCAGATGTGTTCCAGATATTTCAAGTGGTGTGTATAAAGGCAAATAGAAACACATGAACATTTATTGCATTTTAGAAGGAAACTGTCATAGTACTTGAGGGATCAAAAATAGGATATTTTTTCTTTATATTAAGGCTGGTAAATGACATGAAGCATAACCAAAATAGTTAAAATGCAGATACTAGTTGAGAACAATCTCTTGACTCAGCATGGTAGTTGACAGTAAAATCAGCATAATGCAGTAAGATGAAAGTACTTTTTACTTTTTGAAAGAAAAAAAAAGGGGGGTTTATGATACACTGATGTGAGTGACTAATAAAAAAAAGGCAGGCTGCATTCTTGCATAATTGTATCAAGCAATCAAGGCCACTTGCCTTGCAGTTGGGTTGTTTTGTGCAGGCTTCTTGTAAAGCAATCCAATTAGTAATTGTTACTTTCAGTGGATATGGTTATATTGAACCAAAGATCACAAAAAAAGGATGATATATCACTGAAAAGACATCAATAGGTGAATGCACATTTGACTTCAGAAGTTTACCAATCACGGTGTTTGTTTGCAGTGATGAAAGGTTTGGGTGGTTCTACAGTGATCAGTTTAGATTGTATCAATTCTTGTTGAATGTAGAATGTATACAAGAGACATTTTCTAGATTTAGGTGTTGTGCTGGAAGGACCTGTAAATGTTCCTCATTTTTTTAAAATTATAAATGAAAATATTTCTCGAGATGTATGCATAGACTCCAACTACTACGGATTGTCCGTAGTTTCTACGGAAATTCATGATAAACTACAAGCTACGAAAAGTATGGGAAAAACTGCGGATTTTACAGAAACGGAGTAGGAGAACCAGTACACAAAACAGAACCAACTAATTCATGCGATGATTGGCTGAATACTCATGTCATAATATATCACGTGTTGAGTGCGTTGCTGGTTTTGAAGAATAGCCAATCGTAGATCAGTAACTCCAACTGTTAATGACTGGTCGATAGTCCCCCCCCCCGCAACATCTGGTCTCCCAGGCAAAGAATATGTATTGTAGACACAGACATTGTTTGTCCCAGGTTTGTTGCAACTGCATGATTAGCTTGCCTTCGGCTCTATTGCGTGTATTATGGTTACAGCTTTAGCGTGTGTCTTGTGAACTGGGATTTAGGTGGAAGATTTTTAATAATGCTACCTCGAACGAAAAAGGCCAAAATTATCACAGACGTTTAAAGATTCATATTCTTCAGAATTTCCATGCATTAAATCATCCGTAATGTCTGTGAATCATGCACACTGCAGTGTATGCAACAAAGACTTCTCATTTGCACATGGTGGAAAAGATGACTGTAAACGGCATGTTTTTTCTCAAAAACATATAGAACTTGGCATCTAAAGAAATAACGAATTCTTAATAAAAGATGACGAAACAGGTCCTAAGGAAGCCGAATGCTATTTTGTTCGATTTTTAATTGAACACAGTCTACGGCTTTCTGTTTCGGATCATTCCAAAGAGATTTTCAAAGCTATGCTTCCGGATTCTGCCATAGCAAAAATACCAAAACTGCCGCTGTTATGAAAACGCTTACAGAAAATACTGTTGCCGATATTATAAAATCAGTGTGCAATACATCGTTGTGAAGTACTGATGAAGCAATGATAACAAACGTATCCATTGATAAACATATTACAGTAAAGAAAGGGAGAGTTGAGAATTACGTCATTGATTTCTATTTTAGAGTGCACGATAATACTGGAGAAGGTATTTTTAATTGTTAAATGAAATTTAAACAACGGTTTTAGAATGAAAATTGCTTATCATTTTCTTCAGACAATGCTAGTAATAGATTGGAAGTTTAAAGGTGTAGCATCGTTATCAAAATGCACAACAGTATAATCATATCCGAGGTTGTCTATCCACTTTGCATATAGCGCAAAAAAGGCTACTGAAAAATAATTGCTCAGAATCGAAATGTTGTAATAGATATATATTTTTATTTGGTGAAAAAGTTTGACACGGAAGCCGACTTCAAAGTTGCTCAAAAATTTTGGACAGAACACAAAATCTCATAAAATTTTGAAAATTGCAGTCGAGATGGTTATCTCTTTAGAATCTATACAAGGATTTTGGAAAAGTGGGATGCTGTGTAAAGTTTTGGAGATCAACCAGATAACAGTGAAATGAAGGAAAGAGATTTCAAAACATTAAAAAAATGTTACAATCCCTCACCAAATTGTATTGTAGTTTTGAAAAATACTTTGTCTAGTTTATAACAGTAAATATTAATTTGCAACTACAAGTTCCTTATATACATAAACTGAGAAGAGAACTTGTTGAACTTTTAATGAATTTATTTGTTAGATTTCTAAAACCATCAGTAATTTCTAAAGAAAATCAAGATTTTACTGTAACATCTCTTTCATTAAAAAAAATTCAAAATTTCTAGAAATGCTGTATATCAAAAAATGTATCCCCATTTGCCTACAGATGTAAAACGTACTTGCTTGATGGGTGGAATGCAAACAAACATTGCACAGAGTGTAAGTTTGAATCATTTGGAAAGCTTTGGATGGATAAATTCTTGACATAATTTTAAGACAGCGCAAAATGTACCCAAAAGGAGAAACTTACATAAAGCAAAAATTTACTGAGATTAATGACTCCCATTTGTTATTAAAAAAAGGGGGGAACACTGAAAACATAAAATGCTGACTACTGGGCAGTCGTAAAATAAATTTGTTTCGTATTTTCATAACATATTTTAAGTATAGTGGGTTTTTTTTTTTTTTTTTTTTTTTGTTAAAAATTTATGTTCACGTGCACATAAGAAAATAATTGTCATTAAATTTACTTATGCTGAAGTTTCTGAAAATCAAAATTGTTTTTATTCAAAATTGAATGCATTTTATTGTGAATTAAATATCCAAAATTCTCTTTTAAAAACTATTTTTAACCATCTCTATATAAAATTTACATTATTATTGTATACAAAATATCTTTAATTAATGGCCTGTTAATTGTAAAGCTCTATTTAACAAAATATTCTTTCACAGGGTTCGTAGCGGTTCTTATAAGTGCTTATAAGTCCTTATCTTTGAAAATAAAAATAAAGGCCTTATAGGTGCTTACTTTTTCTTTAAAGCCTTATTTTTTGTTTTAGTGCTTATTTTTTGCTTTTAGTGCTTTTTTTTAATGAACCGCTATTTTCCCCCTACCAAAGCCGAAACGAAATAAAAACCTTTTCTTAATATGAATGTCAGGTGGTGAATCATACTCCCGGAAATAGCTTTCCCCCCTTTCTCTGCATTAACATAACCTTTGGTGCGCACAAAGAGTACAGACAGGTGCCCGTCGTTATATTGGTCAAAGAATTGCGAAAGCAGTAGAAAATTCGGTACATTCGGCATTCTTTTCCTCTCACCCAAATACTATACACGTTTAAATTTCTATCCAGATCTTAATAATTTGCATTCTCGTTCCGCTTGGTCAGTTCATATTGTGTTTATTATGATCATTATGCTTATATTATGAGTATATGTATGAAGTTTATAATAACATAGTTGCAGTAACTGCTGAAGTATAGTAAACTTCCAAAAATGGTTGTATTTTTAACACAGCGTTTTAGGAAATAATACTCGGAATGGCTTAAATAAAGGGAAAGTAATCGAATAGTCAAAAATATTTTTTTTTTTGGCCAATACATTATAAGATTGGGAGGTTCTCCCCTTTCTCCCCAAAATCTCAAATATTGAAACTGTTACAAGTTCGCTGCAAAACAAGCAACGGACTTTTTTTTTTTTTTTTTTTGTCACTTTCCAATCTGGATTGAATAGGACTTAAAAGTTCTGTGGTCTACCAACCCAAGCGAAGAATGATTTCTATTCCGGAAATTTAACGCCGTCTGTTGAAAATTAGAATGAAAAACACCCCAGTTATCATATTAGTTCTTTATTCTCCCAATTTCAGCAGCTGTTGATTCCGATTGCGTAATATCACGTAGGGAAGAATTATGGCACAGTATTGTGCAATAACGTTTGCGATATTTCGCAGAGATAATTAATTAATTTTGATGTTCTGTTTGAGATTGTTTATGAACACTTAAAAGAGTTTTACTGTGCTTGCTAAGCAGAATATTTTCAGTTCCATTGGTTTGTTTTTATATGATGCACATATCGAAATGTCAAAGGGATTTATTTAGCGGAAAAATCTAAAAAACGGCTACAGTGTATCCCCCCGTCTGCTCCTCTTTTTTAAGTTACGCTCGACTGTCTGAATATTCGCCAATTTTCAAGTATGTGGGTACTTAAGCCAAAGAATATGTATTGACAGTACATAGAATATGTACATAGACTTTCTTTGGTTAAGCTTTTACTGTTAAAGGAATGACTGCATGAAGCAAAATTTCTGTCTTCTGATATTCAGAAATGTTTATCTTTTTTCATTTAAATTACTTTTCTTGCAATATCTGTTAAGGAAAAACTGATATAACAATGAAAATTTAGAAAATGTTCAGAATTTAGATTTAAATTATTTAAATATAATATGAGTGGAAAAAATAAATTGTATTTATTATTAGGTTCCAAGCAAATACAATAAATATGCTTATTATTATTTTATTTTCTCTATTTTGAACTGAAATTTCATCATTAAATCTTGTATATAGTTTAGTTTCTGCATAGTTTTTTTTTTTTTTTCTCTCATTGTAAACTAGTTCTGTAAATTGAACTGTATTTAAAATTTAAAAAAAAAAAAAAAAAAAAAAAAATTTTCCATGGTTGAGGTAATGCTTATTCTCTCTTAATAAATACTGCATTTCTCATATTTTAATTACAAGTCTAATTAAGGTTATGCAGCTGTGTATAATGTAATTAGCCAGGTGCTTATTTTTTTTTCTTAAAATGTGCTTGAAAAGTACTTATAGGTGCTTATTTTTTTATCTAAAATGTGGCTATGAACCCTGTTTCAGACATTGCATTAAAATATGCAAATCTTATGTTTTAAGGGTGTCAGATAATGCTAAAGAAAACGACTTGTTAAAAAGACAACTTCCACAGATACCCAGAGAAAACGTTTCAGTATCTAGTTTAGATTCTTTACCTAATCGGCAAGAAAGGATGCAAAGTTTAAGAGAACAACATCAAAGAATGCATCAGAAAAGACAAGGTCAATATCCTTTGGAACAGAAGGAGGAGTACTATGAAAATGAGCTTAAAGAAAAAGAGAGCAAATACGTTAGTATTAGTTTCATATCTGACTATAAATGTACATAAATTTCTGCACTGCTGCTATGTGAATATTCTATGGTTTCATTTAAAGTAATGCAATCTAATGGATTTTGGATTATAAAAACATTGATATTGCCTATTTGAGACTCTGAATGTACTTTGTCAATGTAGTGTATTCTCGTCAATGTTTATTACTCTTTTATCATTTGCATCTTGTCACATAATTGCAGCCCTTATTTAATAGTAAAACTAAAATGTTTTTTGTTATTGTATCTCTGCAAGATAATTAGCTATTTAAGGGTTAAACAAAAATTATAGTTAATGGAGAAGATTAAAATGATGTATGTTTCACATTTGAGATTCATGGAAGTGCAACAAAGTTTCCAACATGTAAAAACAAAATTCCCAACATCTAGAAAATGGGGGGGGGGTAACAGGTGCTTGTATTAAAATAGTGTGGTTAGTTATACTTCTACATTGTGATCAAAGAGATATTAATCCAAAACTTAAAAAGTCGTTAGTTTACTTATTGGAACACAAAAGAGGCATTAGCCCTATTTATAAAGGACTCTTCATGATTATCAATATCATTATCATTAAGAGTGCTGAAAAGATTAAGTATAAATGACAAAGTGCTTAATAAAAATGGAGCAAGTTGTGGGCCAATTGTGGTGGTATTTTTTAGGTGGCCATGAGTGAGTGTAGCTCTCTAACAAATTATGCAGTGGAATGGGAATACAGGAGTTCAGATTGGGATAATGATTTCTGCCTGAATGGATTAAATGAATCCTACTTTAGTTACAGCAGAGTATTAATCACAGAAGCTAATTAATTTTACATAAAGCTTCTTAGGCATTGTTATTTTTGTCATAATGAGGAAAATTTCACTTATGTTTCTAGCATTATTTTACTTGTAAATTTGCTACTGAAATGGCGCCAAAAGAAAGGTAAAAAACAAGTTTAAGAAACTTTTTTTAAATAATCAAATTTAGAATAAGCTTTTAAAAGTGATTCTGATAATGATTAATATGATAAAAGTCTGAATATTAGTTCTGTTAGTCTAAAAATTGTTTTCAAAAGCACAAAGTAGGTATGTAAAATTATTGAAAGTTTGTCACTCTTGAAGTTCAGTTTGCAAGTATTGATGTTAAAGTGACAAACACATCTATTTCTTTCTTTCTTTGCCCCACCCCCTTTTAACTCTTTGCGTGTTATATGTGGTTTGGTCATGAAATTTTAAAGATTTCCAAAATCTGATGAATAAGTAGTATTTTCTTGATTATAATATCAGAATTACCCTCTCACTTTAAACCTTTTTTTCTTTTACTATGCAACCAATATGAAACTGGATAGATCAGGAGCTGGCAGAAATTTTTATGTGTAATGAATGGAAAGCCATTTTTCTATATGGAATAATATGTTTATAATCCTTAAAGGGTTAAATGACAAGAATGAACATATTGTTGTACATATTATATGCACTGTGTTACAGATAATATACCATGTAACGCAATGTATAGCATTGTTATGCATGATATAAATATACACTAATACAAGAATAAATAATATTCATACATTCAATGCTGTCATTAATCTGATCATAGTGAGTATTTTCAATATGAACTTGACAAGTCATACGTAAAATTATTGGGGCAATATTTGTTAAAATTTAAATATGAAGTACCTCTTGGGAAGTATATAATATTAATTTAGTTTCTTTCTTTTTTAAAGTAAGGCATAGCATGTGCAATGTTTGTTAAAAATTACATTTAAACTGATGAAATTGTCAAAACATATGAATCTACACTTTTCAAAGAGTTCCCTTAACATTTGATGTGTGTAACATGTTGCTATTTAAGAAAGCTGTTGAGAAGTAAAAGAGATAGTCTAACCAAACTGTACTGTTATGGGTTATTGTACATATACTGTGAGAGGACTGCTACTTTCTTACTTAAAAAAATTAACACTAGAATGGTGGGTGGTGTATTTAATTATGGTAAAGACACTAGGGCACTGCCAGGGGAGGGATGCCTTTTGTGGAGGGCTTTTAAGGAACTGGTTCGTATATACGTTACACATGGGGAAAACCACGAAAACACCCATGCAGCCAGCCCGTTCGCGGGATTCGAACCTTGGACCGAACTACCAGTGTTCAGAGACATTACCGCTTGGCCGCTGGTGGGCTCTAGAATGGTGGGAAAATCTTACCTACTGGAATGATGGTAAGGGGTCATTTTGACCCTTCGATGAAAGTACTGAAATAACAACGGGAAAACAATTTTAAATGCCATACATTGGCACAAATGTGTACTTTATATGTATTTCATAATTTATATTTAATATCACATGATCATTTATTGACTTTTTAAAATACTGTAAACGTATCGAGTTCATGGTGATCAGTTGGATCATACTACAATTACTCATATAACTCATTAATTTGATATAAGAATTGATTTCAAATAAATGGTTTCACAAATTAAAACTAATGTTAACTAAAATAAAACACAATTTAAATATAATTTTTATTGTACTCTGATGCTAACACTCTCTAAATCCAGAAATGAGAAATGTTTTCCTGATGTTTTCAGTATATCATATATGTGTTGTAGCTGAAGGATATGTTAAAGCATTCATTTCATTCTATTAAATTTAAAATATATAGATTACAATAGTATTAAATTATGCAGTTGATATAAAATAATTTTAACATTTTCCAGGCATTTTCCCACCAACTTTTGAACAATGCACATATTCTAGCTTTGTTTCCATTGCATCTCTGTACTTGACACTTTTTTCTCTTTATATCCATTTTCTTTTCATGTGTTTTTTCTGGAGACTCAGGAAGGATCTTTGGGAGTTTTGAAGTCGTATGTACCACTCTTAACTCCTCTCCTAATTTCAGTAGAAAATCTCTCCTGTTGATGGTGTTTCCTGTTACACTTTATCCAGGCATTCAGAGCTGTGTGATCCAAAATATTGAAAAGGATATGTACAGGCCATCATCTAGGAGCCGATTTAACTGAATATTTTTGGCACATCTGATTACGAATATCCATACCATACTTCGTTTCGTTGTAAAATGCTATTGAATCGGACCACTTCTTGAGACTGTCTTCACATTTTACAGTAGAATATAATGAGCTCAGTAGAAAAACGCTTTTGTTTCTTTTGCCTTGATAGATGGTAAGTGTGGTATTATCATGTTCCAGTATTGTCAATTATCATGTTCCACTATTGTCAATGAATTAAGATTACTACGCATATTTTTCAAAGATATTGGAATTTCTCTTCTGTTCTTTTTCATTGTGCCATTCATAGTTGTATTTTTTTATTTTAGCATTTCTGCTAATTTAAGACTAGTAAAATAGTTATCAGTGGTAATATTCCTCCCTTTGTTTAGATGCGGCTCCATTAATTTTATGGAAACATTTTCAGAGAAACGTAATTGACGATTTGCTGTTTCATCTTCATAAGGAAATCCATTCAAGAGGTGTTTAGTATCAACGTCGACAGATAACCAAAATTTTATTCCAAATTTGTCAGGTTTATTAGGCATATATTTTGTAATCTACACCTAGCTTTCGATGGAATAATTGTTCCGCACTGTAATGGTGTCCTGGCCGGAGCAGGTTTTTCAGTTCTACTTCCCTCCACATCGATGCAAGAGCAAATTATCAGTCGGTAATAGACTACTCTGGTTCTTTAAGCAAACCTTAAAATCGTTTATTTCTTAAGCTATCTTGCTATAGTTTCTTGCAAATGCTATTCTCCACGCTTCGGAACACAAGGAATAAACCTGCTCTATTCTCTAGCTCAATAGGCGACAAAAACATCTAACTCAGCAATATAACTTCCGTTTTACAAGTACGTGCGCTTCGGATTCTGATTGAGATTACCAGAAACATCGGCCTAAGAGTATCACCTCATAAGTAAGATGATAAGATCAATGGAAAAATATTCTGTAATAACTATTTCTGAAAGGAAATGTAAGCATGAAAACTTGCATCACCTTCCTTGCATATTTCTTAAGAGGAATAGATAATTGGAAACAAAGGAACAACAACTTATGTAGACATTACAAAGTAGTGAGACCATCCAGGTTTTTATCCCTCTCGGAGATAGTATGAATGCAATCAGAAAATCCTTATCAGTGAATGTTTTTCATGAGTTATTTGACAATGCCTCGATCAAAAAGAGGGATAAAAGTAAAGGGGCCAAAATGACTCCTCATCCATCGTTCTAGGAGTACATGCCAATATTTCAAAAACTAACAAACCTAAAATGCTGAAAATTTTTTTGCGAAAATTTGTTATCTATAGGAGAAGTCAAAAAATTTCAAACGATTTCTTCCAATAAAACAAAAGTAATCAAAGGTCAAGAGTGTTCAGGGGTTAAAATAACCACTACCGCCGTTCTAGTGTTAAATAACTGTCTATCATACTTCTATACTAAGTCACAGATCACAAGCCGCAACTTCGTTAACTTATGTTTTTAAATTTAATGCTTTTACTTTAATATTTTGCAGACATCTTAATGTGAGATAAGATTAATGTATTTCAAAAATAAAATAATAAATAATAAAAAAAAACAAGACTTGGCAAATGCATAGTGGTCTGTCTGCTTAAAATAACTATTATCAGATGGAAATAGACTGGGGTGCTGCATCATAACTGGTATATCAAATACAGTACAAAGTCCATAATCTGGACTCGTTGGCACTTCGGCGATTCCGGATTAAGGGTTTTTCCGGATCAATATAAATCTGGTAAGATGGCATGCAGAAATTATACAATTAAAAACATGAAACCTTAATTTGTGAAAAAGAGCATTATAACAAAGGGTATCAGAATACAAAAAAAAAAAAAAAAAAAAAAAAAAGCTTATATTTGTTTAATTATTAAACATTTCTTTCATGGTAGTTGTTAAGTTGCTTCGTTTTTTTGTGCTAATATTCTCTAATTCTATAAACAGACATAATGTCTTGTTCAGTTACAAAGTCCTGTAATTGCTGTGTCGAGAATACCAACTAACTTGTCAATAGAAATTTTTTCGTTTTCAATAACCTCTCTGTCACTTTCTTCACTATCGGAATCGCGTATGGGTAAACGCTTTAAGCACATGTGTAGCGGATGCAAGCAGTAAACGCGCATGTGTAAGTTTGTGGCTTTGAGGTCTGGATTACAGATCATTCCAGATAATGGATCTCCAGATTACGGACTTTTACTGTATTGTCCAAAACTATCTTCACATGCATGAAATTACAGATTCTCAAAAACTATGAATTATATTTCTGAATTTGTTTAGAATGCTGCATAACACAAATTCAAAGCAAATAATTTGAGATAAAAACTGCACATGATGTAAAATTCTATTATGACACAATGAAAATGGCAATATTTATGTTACAAGGAGAGTTTGGGGGTGGGGAGAGAATAATTTATAAAATATAATTAAGGCTGATAAATTTAATTTGGAATATGATCTTTTCTAACTTGTACATACATATCACAGTGTGTTTTCATGCTCGCAATAAGGCTGTTAGCCAAAATTTGGGGAATTAGGTTCCAGTCCTCCAGCAATCCTGTCTTCAGAGCAATTAAATCTCTTAAGAGGAGGATGTATTTATGCAACTGCTTTACTAAGGTAGTCCCATAAGTTCTCTGTTGGGTTAAGATCAGGAAATTTTCCTCTCCATGTATTCACTTAATGTCTTAACTTTCAAGGAAGAGATCAACAAGTTTACTTTATGGATGAACATTATTCTCCGTAAATAAAAGTCATGTGCATCTGAAAAGTCTTAGATAAGGTTTTAAGACCTCATCTCTATATCTCTGGCCAGTTGCAGATCTGTTTGAAAACATGTAGGGGCATACATCCATTGATCAATATTCCTCCCAATAATCATCACGCCTGTATTACTGAATCGATCATGTTCCCTAATGTTTGAAGAAAGATTGTGTGTTCATAATTGCTTCCAATTGTAAAACCTTTATAATCGGACTCTAAACTTCCAGTCATCAGTAAAAAGAACATGGGGCTATTGGTTCTGATAGTCTTTGCACCAATTAAAGCAGTCCTTTTTTCGTTGTCAGAACAGTGGTACATATATCTCTGCCTTTCTAGCATAAGAACCTTTTTTTTTACTAAGCCTTATGTATGCAGTTTGCCATAATACAATTCCAGTGACAGACTGCAAGTTCTGAACTTAACTGCTGAGCAGTAGACTTTCTGTTACAATAGGCAGTTATTGCCAGATAATGGTCTTCAGAAGCAGATGCTATTTATTTACTACCTTGACTAAATCTCCTTACAATAATTTTAGAAGAGTTCTGAAATTATTTCCATAGCATAGAGACTATCTTGAAATATTCACCTGTTTCGCTGCTTCCATAATTATCTACTCCTCTGTTAAATAGCTGATGACATTTTCTATTTTACAGATTCTTCCTAATAATTAATTAGATTCATAACAACCATAACCAGAAAATCTTTCCATTATCCTTGGATACCTTTGGAGACGATTGGGACAACATATATAGGAATTTTAATTATTCAAATATGTGTTCATGTTTTACTATCAATTTCTCTATACTCCTTAGTGACAGCAGCACCATTTTCAGTCTATCATCAATTTGTTGTACGATAGCAGAAACTCTTTCTTCAGTTGTTATTCTTTGGGAGAAACTTTTTCTCCTTTTTGTTGTTCGGCAGCAGAAAGTCTTTCTCTGATTTTTATGTTTCACAGCAGAATTCTATCTCTGATTTTGTTGTTCAGCAGCAGAAATGCTTTCTTCAGTTTCTCCAACTTTATTTTGAACTGTGTCTATTCTGCCTTCCATAGCTTCAAATTTGTTTTCTATTATAATAGTAATTTCTCTTTTCATTTCATTCTTGATCTGCTTTCATCTCTTCGTTAATGAACTTGTTAGCCCCTTCTGTCTTTTTTTTTTTTTTTTTTCCTCCTACTTTTATCTTTTCTTCGAATGCAGAAAAAGCTGTTATCAGCTGTCTTCGTTTCTCTTCCATTGCTGTTGCCATTAGCATTCAGGCTCTCTTCCAAGACCAAAAAATTTTGCATTCATAATAGATTGAAGGAATACAGAAATGATGATAGCTTGATAAAATTTATTTTTTCCAAAGTAGCACTTAACAGATCTGAAACTTTTCAAAAATTACTTATACAGCTTTTCTCACTTTCAATGACACAGCACAATCATTCATTATTACTTCAAACTGCAAAGAATCTTAAACACAATATGCTTTGTAAGAGCGAACCTCTCATGTTCCTCAAACACCATAGTCATTTCTGAGCTAATAAACTGAGAAATGATGCTGTCTGCAGTCTTGTATAGTTTTTACCTGGCCACCGAGTAATTTCCAGGACCTTCCATTTCTCAAAATAACTGGAAACCATATGCAGTTAAAGTTACATATAAGGGCTGGATGCGGTTACAATTATGCAGGGATTAGATCTAAATGTCACCAAGATTGGCAACTTATAGTGATTTTTCTCGACATTCGTCGTGGAAACCATCGATACCTTGGTGTTATTGGCAAGATAGCCCCATTTACCTGAATGTTAAATTGACTAGCCTATAATCTTATTTTTATAACAGAGTTTTGTTTTCTCAAGATATGTCATGTTATATTGTACAAGAGATACTACAATTTTATGTGTAATTGTACTAAAATTATATACATATATGCAAAATTTGTAGTTTTCTGATGTGTGGAAGAGAAAATAGTTTTCCTTAATAGAAAATGTTTTCAGTGATTTCTGTGAAGTTTTCTTTTAAAACTTCTCAAGTAAATATATTTTTTTTTTTACTGTTATGGATGTAGGTTCTTCCATTTAATGTTGTGCATGGCAGATCCCATAGTCTTGATACTCATAAGGATACTGCTCAGTAAGTACTGTTTAAAAATTTTTGTAGCATAAACATATGCATATATATTGATTTTAAGGTTTAAATATTAAATTTATTATACTTATTTTTCTGAATAAGTTACAAAAAATTTTTTCTGAAAATTCATTGACTTATTTGTGTAATTTGTTATTCTATTCCCCTGAACTGTTTGCTTATACAGTACAAAGTCCGTAATCCAGACTCGTCGGGATTTCGGCGATTCCAGATTAGGGGGTTTTCCGGATTATAGATCATCAATTTAAATCTGGTAAGATGGCATGCGGAAATTATACAATAAAAATATGAAATCGTAATTTATGAAATAAAGAGCAATTATGATCTAAAGGGTATCAAAATTTACAAAAAAAAAATATTTATTTGATTACTTTATTAAATATTTCTTTCATGTCAGTTGTTTAAGATCTTCCACAAAAAATCACGTTCCTTTTTCTTATGTCATATATAGTGGATTTTCTAATGCCATACTTCTTGCATAATTTTGAGACGGATAGGCCTTTATCATTTTCGACAATTCCACTTTGTTTAATGGGATCGAAACATGCTTCGCTTTGTGATCCTTTGGCCACCTCAAATTCTTTTGACATAATAATCGAAAGTCGTGCTTAATTTTTATAAAATTGTTCTAACAGTCTGCAAAAAATAATAAGCCAGATCCAATTAGAAGATTAAGGAACAGCGCAGTCTGCAACATTAACTGAAATAGATAATTTTAGCCCAGCTTATACCGTCCGTTATACATTAAACGCGCATGCGTAAACACATTATGCGTTTACACATGAGCATAAAGATTGTAGCTTTGAGGTCCGAATTACAGACTTTGTACTGTATGAGATTCTAAAATGTTGTCACAAGACCCCCCCTTCTAAAAAATTGTATATATTAATAACCCTTACCAAAGAGAAGAAAGCAGAACAAATGATGTGAAATGTAAAAAGAAAATGTAGTGTTATGATACAAAGTCTGGATATAGTAGCTAAACAAAAAGTATTTAATAATATGAGCCAGTTTGATGGTTGTGAAAATGCGTAAATATATTATTTTTTTAAAAAAAAAGTACAAATATGTAAATTAAAATGCATGAGAAATCGGGAAATTTTTAAATGTAAAATTCACAAATAAATGGAATACGTTTAAAGAAATAGCAAACATATTATGAAAAAATTGCAAATTTATGTTTAAAATTAAATTGCTAAACCGCATGTTTGCTAATTGTTGTTTGTAATATGTTGTTGCTAATCGCATATTTGCTTTGAGGTCCAGATTACAGACTTTGTACTGTATGAGATCCTAAAATGTTGTCACAAGACCCCCCCCCTCTAAAAAATTGTATATATTAATAACCCTTACCAAAGAGAAGAAAGCAGAATAAATAATGTCAAATATAAAAAGAAAATGTAGTGTTATTATATAAAGTCTGGATATAGTAGCTTAACAAAAAGTATTTAACAATATGAGCCAGTTTGATGGTTGTGAAAATGCGTAAATTTAAAAAAAGTACAAATAGGTAAATTAAAATGCATGAGAAGTCAGGAAATTTTTAAATGTAAAATTCACAAATAAATGGAATATGTTTAAAGAAATAGCAAACATATTATGAAAAAATTGCAGATGTATGTTTAAAACTAAATTGTGAAACCGCATGTTTGCTAATTTCTTATAAACATTCCTTTTTATTTTATATTTTACATTAATTTTTTTTTCATTTCTTAAATAACTTTGTATCTGCATGTTTATGCATTATCACTGCTTTAGTTTTTTTTATGCTTTTTTATATTTGTCAAACTGTCTTTTGGGGAGAAATGTTCACATTCCTTTTAGTTTACATACGTAAATTTAAATCTTTATGAATTACTGTATCTTACAGCAACCTTATCTGTATTTGAAAAATAGTTGTGTAATTTTTAATCATTATACATGCTAGATTTAGGTTTAAATTCAGTTATATATTAAATTCTTTCGTATGTGTATATGTATACTAACATACTGTAACAAGATTATCAAAAGTTTGCAATAAAAGTTTTAAAAATATAAGAAACTAATCAGTTATGTCAAATGTATATGGAATGAAACTGACATGTGTATCAGTATGACAACTGTACATTTCAGTAGCAAATCTTGGATCCTGCTAGAGTTGAGTACTTAAGGATTTGTTGAACTGAGCACCCCTACCCCAAAAAAGTTTTTTGTTAAATCGAAAAATAACTTTAGTAAATTGCTGGTCAAGATATGAGGGTGTCCACCTTCCCACTGTATGCTCTTCTATGACATCTCTTACATACAGAAATTATAACTGTCTTTTAAAATATTGAAAAATTAGAGAACAGGCTTACTAAATGTCATATTGCTGTAAAGCATTTGTGTAAAAACTTATTGCCAGAAATAATAGCTGAAATCTTGTAGGTTAGACATCGCCAGACTAAGGATCCAAATAAATAAAATTCCAGTCTGAAAAACTATCTATAATCATTCTGGTCATACACATAAATTCCTCACATTCATGTAATGACTTCCAAAATTGGATTTTGGTTACTGCATTTATAAACAGAAAAATGCATGTATTACAGTTTAATTATAAGTATGATGATGTAATAGTACATAAATATCATATTTGAGTGAACATTATTTTTATAAAATAGTGTAGTTTAAATGTTATGCTTGTGCATTGAAATTGTTGCATTGATTTTGAAAGATGGGAAAATTGTTCCAAGATAAAATTGTTAGAAATTTGTTAGAATTGTTAGAAATTCTAACATTGTTAGAAATTGTTAGAAAAAGTATTTTTGTGTATATATAAACAGTGTATCCTTAGAAAAAATATTTTTTGTATATTTGATAAACAGCATATCTGACGTATTAACTTATAATGTAATATTAAATGCATAAAAATTGTTCTAAAAATTTTTTGAGATGTGTATTAAAAATGATGGGTATGCATTTTATATCCACTAATTCTCATTTTATTGTGAAACTGTTACGAAATAAATGAGATGTGATCTTAATATGATTTTATTCTTTTCTCTTAACCCTTATAGTGGTTTACCTGTACCCAGTTTTCCTGGAGATCCAAACAGATATAGTCATTATATGAATTATAAAGAAATTCAGCAGCATATAAACCAACGAGTGCAGCATGATATGCGAAATTCGTCTTCCAAGAAAATTTCGAAATCTGAACCAAAAACAACAACAAATTCTGCTGTAGAAGGTCCATCTAGCAATTTTTTTGACTATGAAAGCGTGCATCATCATCATCAGAGGCACACAACAAGCCAGTCTTCTGATATTAGTTCTAACTCACTTCCTCGTGGTGTGCATACTTCAGATCATGCGTTAACACATCAGGGCCCAATGAACAAACCTTATTTTGTGCATGAGGCACATGATAATGGAAATTATGGACGTATGAATGTTCATCATTTTTATCCGAACACCAAATTATACTCGCATATTGTTCCAGGCTCTAAAGTTTGACTTCCATGCAAGTTATTATATTTTTCCATTATAAAACTGTAACAAATATATATATAAACTAAAAAAATCTGTTTAAAGCCGTCCATGTTTTGCCATTCAATGCATAAATATCTCAAGCTCTTGTACTTTAACAGTGTGTAAGTCCTTACCCTTAATTTTTTGAAGTCAGGCAGCTCAATATATATGTGTTCTGTATTAGTAAACAGGAACTAATTTTCTGTTTCTGTGTTTATAGAGCCTTTAAATACCTTGTACATTTTTTGTTTTAATTAGTAATGGGTTGCATATTTTGTTCAGAATCTGTGAAATGGCAGTTTCATAATTCGTTATTTGCATCCCTATTTCTGTATTTTTCATAAAGAGAGGTTGTAAATCTGGTTATAATAGTTCTTTATATTCTTCAAGTTTTTCTGAATGTTAAGCGTTTTCTCATAATTTTTTAATATATTGCATCACTGCATATAAAATACAGAGTCCCCATGTTGTGAATGAGATATGTTTCCAAGAGCTTTATTAGGCAGATTTGTTGATAGCTCAGATCCCTAATGAGCAGAGCCTATTATGGTAATAATAAAAAAGTATTAATAATTCTGTAATTTTTCATATATGGTAATAATAATATGAAATGCTATGATGATGAGATTACCACCACACCATACAGGTGTTTTAATGTTTTTTCTTTTAATTCAAATGAACAAAGTAACGAAAAGATCATATATAATGTAATAAGAAATAAATTGATTAAATCTCATGCATTGTTAATTTTCTTCATGTTCGGAAGGGGCATTTAGAGGTTGGGATACCAGATGATTTAATTTACTGCTGAAGTCTCTCATCTTTTTTTTTTTTTTTTTTTTTTTTTTTAAATTTCCTTCAATATTGGAGCAAAGTACAAAAACTGCAAACTAGTGTGACATGAAGATTCATAATATGATATCTATTTCTTGCTACATACACTTAAAAAGGACTACTGGTTGTAAAGAGTAAAGGAGTATCTGAAGTTGTATCCTGAAGTAAAAGAAGAAAAGAATAAATATGTGGAAGTCATACACTAATTTGTAAATCAGGTCCTGCAACTTTTATACTGTTCTAAGTTCCAATATTATTTGTTTGTTTAATTATTTTATCATTGTAGAAAACTTATTCATACAAACCTGTTTTAAGTCAAATGTTCTATGAACAGGGGACTGCCTGTATTTTAAAAGAAAGTTGAAGTGTTTCTTTCTTTCTTTATCTTCCCTCCTCCCCGTAAACAGAAAAGCTTTAAATATGCAGGAAAATGTCAGTTAATTTTTTTTAAAAATTCTTGTACTCCCTTGTATAGTAGTTTTTTTAAATGTGTTGATCAAATTTTTGGTTTTCCTCCATAAGCACTCCAGATTTAGAAATTTAAAATAAAACATCATTTTTTTTTTTTTTTTTTTTTAAATAAATAATAGAGTAGCAAAGTGGATTTTACTCTGTATAAACATTCCAAGTTTAGCAGATAGTCTGTGATACATTCTAAACTGTATTATGTAACAACTTTTATTTTTAAAATAATATTTGACAAATGACCAAAACTACTAATTATATTATTTTTGCCATCTATTCAGCATATTTATCAGAAATGGGTAAAATACTTGAATTTTCAACATTTCTGCAGATAATTACTTTTTTAATCAAATAATTGTTATGGAATATTTAAATGTAAATGACCCCCTTTTCTATGAAATTCTTAAAAATTGCTTTCTTTATAATATGTTATGAAATGATTTTGAATGAATCTGTACCATGAGATTTTAGTTTTAAATATTTATTAAGTATTCGAAAATGTATGATAATTAACTGAAGAGTTAACTGATTATTGCATTAAAGTTAATTGGGAATAACCTTGTGTTGAGGTTAGCTTAAATTTAAGCAGATTCAACCTTGTATTAAGTTTAGCTTAAATTTCAAAGAGCATATTTACAGGAAAATGCTTCCACATAAATAATAAATTTTAGAGTATTATTTCTTTTGTGTCTCAGTTACGTTTGCAAATTTTCGTTTGGAGGTATATAACATACTTTACAGCATATTTGTATTTAAATATTAGAAATGACTCTTTTATATCAGTAGGATTGGTAATAAAATATGAATATAGCCTTGAGCTAACATGCATGCTGGTCTAAGATTACATTCCATTTAATTTAAAGTTAAGTTTTATGTAATTTAAAAATTGTTGTCCTTTTTCTCTTTTTATGGTGATGAATTCTGTGGTTAGTTACAATTCTGTACTGTATTGTGTCTGTTTTCTTCCTATGTTCTGCCTGTCTTTCTTTATGATACTGTTTATTAAAAAATCTGTGATATAATTTTTTTAAAAGTGTTCTTGCATACTTTTATTTTTAAAAAAATGTAAATTCCACTTAATTTAACTTTCAATTTAAAAAAATCGTGCATATTTTAGAAAAAATGAAATGCATAAATGAAAACTAATTCGATATGTTTGAGGAGAAAATTATATATGTAAAAAATAATTACCAATAACGAAAATTGTGTCTTCATAAAATTTCTCATTTTTTTATTTATATTACATTGTAAAAATATTCTTTATCCTGTGTAATTCATATGATCTTCAAGTACCTTGAAAAATGGCTTAAATTTTTTTCAGCATTTTAAAGTAGGAATTTATAAATTGAAAGCTGAACTATATATCTCCTCTTTTGTACACACATATAAATACTTGTGTTTGAAATCAATTAAAACAATTCAGGATTTATTTATTGATGTTCTGCAAAACATTTAAACTTGTTTTCTGGACCTTTGGCATGAGATGCAAAATTATTGTATGTGTATCATGAAATTTTCGTGATATGGAAGTAATTTTTTTAATACAGTTTCAATGCATATATATATATATATATGGTTGATTGATTTGCTGTAATTTATTGAATATTCTATTTGAAGACTTAAAATGTGTATTTTTTAGATTAAATTCATATGTGTAATATAATATTGGTGAGTTTATCAAAATTTAAACATGTTACTGCAGTCAAATTTTGTATGCAATCATATAAACAAGATTTATGTATAATTGTATTATATATTCCAAATCTAAATTACTGCATTGATTGTTCCCCATCTTATCTATTTTAATATTTGTGAGTGAATAAAAATGAACAGGTTTATGATCTTTTAACTAGCAGCTGTGTAATTATGATTTTTTGGAGCTGAAATTGTCATGTTACATGATATTTGCATTTCCTATAACTGTTTTGCATTCAGTTACATTACACTAACATGTAATTATATCTGTACTTTTGAGCACAAACAATTCTAAATGGATATTTGCAGGAAGTAAAATACTTTGTTATATTGAAACAAATTATTATTGTTTCAAATGAAAACATAAGAGAAAGTAAGATAAAGTGTTGGTTTGAAGTCAGATTTTGAAAGTAATGAAATATGATGATTCATTTGAAGAAAAAAAGATAAATTTGTTGCAGTGATTGCAGAGTAAAAGACAGGGAAACTTCTGTTCATGAATTTAACTTGTTTCTGAATGAATGCCATTTGTAAACCAAAGCAATTCCTTCCATAGGAATTGATATAAAATGGATTAATTTGTTCCTGGACTACACATAATTGTTAATTTAAATTTTACAACAGTACATTGTGCACAGCCTCATAGCATGAAAACAATCAAAATCAGTAATTATAAATACAATATTAAACACATAAAATAGATACAAATTTAATTTTAAAATACTTGTACAGAGTGAACAGTTTAAACACAAAATGATGAGAAAGATGTTTTGTTTGGATGCATATTTCCCTCCTATTAAATCGTCAGATAACTGTCTTTAGAGGCACATCTTTATCTACCTTTTGTCTCTTAGCATCAGTCGACAGAGCTTGATACCCATTAGGCATCTGTTCCACTCAAAATTTTTCTAATGTTATTTGCTGATGGTTTAAAATGTATCTTAAATGAAAAATGCTTAACCTGTAACATGCTACTGCTTTATCAGGGTAATATCATTACCTGAAAACTTTCTAATTTGCTTCATTTTGCACATATTTCACAAATCAAAGAATCAGGAGCCTTTTTTATTCTTCCTCTTCTTCTGAAAATATTTCTTTCAAGTTGCCTTTTGCTACTTCTGAGGCTGTAAATGTTGCATTTGAGCTCATTTTTACGATCTGTAATAATTTTGCAACTCTTCATTGTTTAACTTCCTACAGTTACTTTATAGTTATGTAGTCACTATATCATAGATAATGAAAGAAATTCTTAAGTATCAAAATCCTCACTGTTTCTGTTTGCAATCCATTCTAGCCATAATTTTCCCCAGGTCAAATTTGCAGTCTTTTGAGTCACATCCTGCCAGGCTTTGTAATGAGGGTTAAGTAGTGGCAAATATTGATATTTCAAGAATCTCTAAGTGGCATTCTTATATGGAATTGATTAACTCAAAACATCTTTGAAAATCATATGTTGCCAACTTGAGTGTTGACTCGTAAACTCGAGGCACCATTCATCATTCAAGGTGTTTTTTTTATTCAGATAATTTGTTCATGAAGTGAGGTATTTGTGACCTGAGGTTCTATTTTTGATTTAAGTAAGTTCAGTTCTATTAAGGTTATTAAATTCTGAAAGATATACTGTTCATGTTAAATAAATTGAAATATAAATAAATTATAAAAAGTTTGAATAAAGAATGAACTATGAAATTAATAATTGAGAAATTTAATATACATCTGTTTGAGTTATTAATTAGAAACCCTGATTAACAGCATTCTTATTCTGTAACAAATTTGGATTAGATGATGAGTTCTTATATTAAACTTGAAGAGCATAAATATAGTGCCATTCTTAACATCTTTATGTTTAGCTTTTTTTTTTTTTTTTTTAAATCTTTAAATTCATATTAGATGAGTACTATAAATAGTGTTTAACCTATCATGTATATATTTTTTGTTGCAATTCTGGTATTGTTCTAGAAATAATTCAGGACTTTTGCAATAATAAACAACCTTATTCTGAATTAAAAATTTAGTTGCTTCCTGGATACTTATGCATCAGTAACTGTTTCATATATTCTTAAATTAAAATGTAAATCTATGTTAATGAAATGTCAGACCTAGGCACACAAATAATCTGGAAGGGAATAGAAATGAACAGCAGGAAATGACATGTAAGTAAAATATGAAGTACTTTAAAGTCAAATGTACTTCTTCAGCGGTGGACCGGCCTCATAAGAACAGATATCTGTGCTTAAGTGTGAACACAGAAGAAGCATCCAGAAGTTTTCTAGCATTTGCCAGAAAGTTTTCTATGTTGAACTTGGTATTTCAGTGTTTCCATTGATGCTTGTTTTGCTTGTCTAATTTGCATATTTGTAGCTGAAAAAAAGGTGTTGTTTGACTTTTCAAACTATGGTACTGTATGTTCATTAACTTGCACCAATTCATGTTGCAAATTCTTGTACTTTTTTGGACAGTGACATTAGATTTAAATCTTCAATATAAATATCTAATTATAAAATAATTTTTAATTGTTTACTCTGTACGCACTGTTACTTAACCTTTTCTCAGGCCTTTTCTTTCTTCTCCCCTTTTGTTGTTGTTGTGTATGTTATTCATTGATATAGTTTTTATGCATTTTGTAGTACATACAAAGTGTATTCAAATATGCAATCCTTAAAAAATATTTCATTTTGAAATTTAACAAAAAGAAATTTAGCATATTCTATCCAGTATAAGTTATTAATTTACAGAAAATTATAGAGCTTTTATAGCCACTAAATAGAATAAATTTTAAGTTGTAAAATTGGATGCTCATTGCCATCATCAATGTGAGAGTGTAAAATGGGGTTTTTTCACACTTTTAATATAGCCAATTCTTAGTAACCGTAAGTACATATACCCACTGCTTTAAATTGTAGATACTCAGCAATATAATATAGAATAATTTTTGTTATATGAGTAAATGCAGAACATTTCATTCTCATTTTAAACTGTTTCCTGTAGTTTTATTAATCATATAGTTTATTAGACAGTAACTTCAAAGTACTCTTAGTAATTATACATTGTGAATTATATATCAATAAAAATATTGGATGGTGATTTTTTTTTTTTTTAAAATATGTGTGGGCCTTCTCTTAATAACATTACAGTTACAAGTAAGTAAAAAGTTATAATGTAAAACTAATCATACTTGCTGTTAAACATGTGTGAAGCTACAAAACATATGTATTTTAAGTGCCTCCAAAGATAATGTTTTAAAGTATCTTATTTTAATGTATTATTACTTACATGTGCATGTCTGAGTGAATGTTTTTAACCCTTAGATCAATATTTGTAAATAGTAATAATTGTAACTTTATATAGTTGTACTGATTTTTTATTTTTTACTGAAAAATGTATTTATGTAAATAAAAACATTGTTTTATTTTAGTGGAGTTTGTTTCATTTTTGTGGTAGATGGTGATTACATGAAACAGAGTATGATTTTTTTCGCAATATGTTACAACCAAAAAATTTAGCAAGTTTTTATTAATGATAAATTACCATAATTTTTTTTTTCAGATTTGTTGTATATTTATTGTATTTAAAAATTAAACATAAAAAACTGGGAAATCTCTTCTTGATATGATAAATTTTTAAGTTTCTTGGTAAAAAAAAAGGAAATATGAGAACTAAGAAAAGTTAGACAAACTGCACATGTTGTTACCTGTAAATATTGAGGAGGGAGGAGTAAAGACAATTATTTTCCCTTACAGCTCTTATTTCTCAGTTGGCAATTTCTGGGTCATTATTTTCAAAGATGTGGTGGGCCATAATTTCTCTAATATTGGGCTGCAGTAAAAATAAGGTGCCTGAAATCTGATTATAACAAAAATACATGAGAACTGTTTGTCTAAGAGATGTCTTAATGGAGGACTTTCTAACAATTCAATAATACTGCTGAAATTTTTTACATAGTTAGCCTTTGAAGTAAAATCTGAAAGGAAGATAGATGCTGAGTATCAGTTTGTAGTTGGAGGGAGGTAACTGATTTTTGATATTTTAAAAGGTAAATATTCTACTAATAGGAATGGTCAAAACAGAAAGTATTTCTGGTTCTTGGTGATTCTTGGATTGAAGAAAGACTAGAATGATGAAGACTATATGACTTAAAGTAATATCAGTATGTACTTAAGGCTGTGTATGAAAATGAGAATTTAAGTACGAGTGCTACTATTTAGATAATCAGAACATGAGGATAAAGTGTTAGGCTGTATATTGTATCATAATTTAAGTATGAGTGCTACTATTTAGATAATCAGAACATGTGGATAAAGTGTTAGGCTGTATATTGTATCATAGTTTTTGCACACCATTCATCTATTTATCCGAGATGGCATTAACATGGCTCACATAAAAGAGAATTTTTCAAAAAAAAAGAAAAAAGATGTGTATATAAACTTTTACTGTATTTGAATTTAGACCTATAATATGCTGCATGTCTCATTTAAAGTCTCTAATGCATCCTTTTTCTAATTACATAAATGGCCATTTTTTTCTAATTATATGCATTCTCTTTATCTACGTAATGCACTGATATCTGTGGATTATGGAGAATTTTGTACAAATGCATGCAAAAAGATATGAATTTAAATAAATTTTAAGCTCTGTAATTAATAGATTTTACTATCATCTTTGTATTTCATTCAGATTCATAAATTGATGGGGAAAAGCTATAAAATATTACAATTTTATTGTATTGTCAAATTCAAAATAGGTTTTCAAATATGTAGTATTTAGCACTGAACAAACAAATTTTTATGAAACTTAAAGAAACACTTGTTAAAATGCAGGAATAATTTTTCCTTTCAATTATTATACTTCATAAGCAAAATTCAATAAAAATATAAAATAGCCCCCCACTTTTCTTTCAAGCCAAGGTTCAAACATACCTCAAATACAGAAGTGTTGTTCGCTGAAGTTAATCGTACCATTTTTTTAACATTCAATAAAGTTCCCATACTTTAATTTAGTTCCAGCAGATTTTGCGGGACGTATCAGTGCTGAGTATTGTCACAGAGTGATGTCATATCAGTTTCGTTATCATAATTTTCCAACCGATCAGATATGCCGTAATGTAGGTCTTTGCCAATATCCGGGTTTCTTCAAATAGTAAGTGTGCGACGAGTGGCTAACTGCTGTGAGTGAGTAGTGTGGCGAATATAGTAGTAATACTTAGTACTTTTATTGTTATTATCGACAGTGTTGAAAATATTTGATTCGTAATTTTTAATTTGTATGAATAAATATACAAGTGTAAATTACATCTTGTGTCTAGCAAAATTTCAGCAAAATATGCATTTCTTTAATTTTAATTTAGAAATAGGTAATAAGATTTTTTCCCCGGTGTTTGAAATTAAATATTTAATTTTACTGTAGTGTATTTAACATATAAAAATAAAGTTTATATAGGCTTACTTCTATTGTTCTTTGCTGATTGAAAGGTAAAAAAATTTGAACACCTAAATAGAATATTTCAGTTAAAAATATTGTAAATTCTTGTATTAGATATTTAAGAAAGTCTAGAATTGTAGAAACTGCAGATTATAGATTGCATTTTTCACATTTCGAGTTGTTTCTAATAATGTGCATAAAGCAGCCAATAAAATTTCAGTACTCTTCCTGTTATCGGGACCGAATTAAGAAATGTAAGTATGCATGTATATATGTGTGTGTGTGTGTGTACACAATATATATGTATGTACATATTTGCATACATTTCTTAATCTGGTTCCGATAACAGAAGAGTACCTAAATTCCTTGTAAATAAATAAATAAATAAAAAAAAAACAGCAATTGCATTCAATTCAATTTACTTATGTTTTAGTAGTATGATTAAGTTCATTTTATAACTTATTTTTTCTGCATTAATGGATATACAAGCTTAGCATTCAACTGAAAAATTTATTTAAATTTCAGTTTAATTCTTAAATGTATGATTCAGTTTGATTTAACTGGAAAAATCATTCAGATTCATAAATTGATGAAAAAGCTATAAAAATATTACGTACTGTCACATGTAAAATAGGTTTTCAAACATGTAGTATTTAGCGCTGAACAAACAAATTTTTATTAAATGTAAAGAACCATGTAATAATTTAACACTTGTTAAAATGCAGGAATAATTTTTCCTTTTCAATTATTATAGTTCATAGTAAAATTCAATAAAAATATAAAATAGCCCCCACTTTTCTTTCAAGCCAAGGTTCATACATTACCTAAAATACAGAAGTGTTGGTGTTCGCTGAAGTTAAACGTACCATTTTTTTTTAACATTCAAAAAAGTTCCCATACTTTAATTTAGTTCCAGCAGATCTTGCGGGATTACTACTGAGTATAGTCGCGAATTGATACCAGATTAGTTTCGTTATCGCGATTTTCCAACCGACCGGATATGCCGTAATCTAGGTCTTGACCAATATCCGGGTTTCTTCAAATCGTAAGTGTGCGATGAGTGGCTAACTGCTGTGAGTGAGTAGTGTGGCGAATAAAGTTGCTGAAGCTAATACGCGTCTCATATAGAAAATTTATTAAATATGTTTTCCTTGTTGTATAAACTTGGATTGTTGCACATATTTCTATTTGTACAAGTAAATGCACTTGAGGGTAAGTGGTAGTTTTCAGTTTAAGGAATTTGTTTCGTCATTTCATGAGAGAAATCGTGATTGACAACTGCTAACTTGGTAAAGTTATGTAGGCAATGTAAACAAAACTGCAGGTGTGTTTCGTTTGAAGGCCGTGTTCCAGTAATGTAGGTTTTTTCTAGAACTTGGCTGCATTTTTCGATTTCACTCATGATACCTAAAATTTCCGATTTTATTTTAAATTGCTTAGTCGTATTTCGGCTCTGAACTCATTATCCTTTAAATATTCTTAAATTGAATTGTAATAATAGATTAAAACACACCACAGTCTTTTAGTTAAAGTTCACTGTATCAACTCTGAGCAACAATTATGAAAATGCTAGTTCATTGCAATTAACATAAGTAAATTCATTTTAATGGTATAATCGTTGTTAGTTTTCCGCTGTAAAATCGTTACTGCTAAATTTGAATAGTTAATTTACTAAAAATCCTCTCATCGTTTCCCGTATACTGCAAGATATAAATAATATGCTTAAATTTTCCCGCAGTTTGTTTTGTCTTACAGCATGAAACATGTAAATAAACTGGAATATTAAATGAACTGCATTTTGTGTTATAAATATTCCAGTACATTTGTTGTAATGCTTATTTTGATAAATCCAGAGTTATTAAAGTACTGTTGCGTATGTTTAGAAATACAAACAGCTTTATTATCTAAGGAATGAAACATTATTTTACTTGGTTAAAACTTTTATTGTTTGAAATATTTGACTTTTAATAGATATAAATTTCTATATTTTAACAAATACTTTTATTAATATTGAATTGTTATGTATATTATATTTACTACCTTTTTAATAATTAAGATTTTTAATAATTATTTTGTTTCATGAATTTCTGTTAATTGAAATTGAGTATTTCTATTTTGGAAGTTAGCTAAACAGTGTATGCTTATCAATATTTATATAACAAATCTGAAATTACTACATATACATTAAGGGAATTTAAAAAAAAAACAAAGGCCATCTAAAGAGCTGTTTGATTTTTAATATTAATTAATTATGTAGGGAAAATATCTTGGAATCTAGGGAAGTCTAAGCATTAATTGAAATACAATTATCCTTCCTTCATATCTGTTTTTGATTTATGCATTATGATAACCGTAATTAAACACCTAGTTTCATCTAAATAGCAGTTTATTAAAGAAATTAATATGTTCTGTTATTCTGACTTAAAAATTTCTTAGTTCCAAACTTCTGGAGAAAAAAATCATATCCACAATTAGTGAAAGTAACACAGGATGCTATGTGGCCTAACTTATTCAGAAACATTATCTGTTATTGTTTTAATTCAGAACTCTTATATATAAGAACTATTTTACATGTTTTATCACCAAGAAATATAAAAGTGAAAACAGTCATAAACTAAATTTATGGCTACTTTTTGATGATTTGCATCCCCATCAAAACAGCATTGATGAGGTAGCACATCATGTCACCAAAGTATACATGTGGTAACCCAGGTATGCACATAGTATTCCCCTAGACAGCTTTCCCCTTCTTCCAGTATTTTCACCACTGTGATTGCAGATTATGATCTCTCCTATGGGAATTTCAGTGTTTTTGCATTGTGATGGGCAGAATACTGTAATTTTTATTATCTTAGGTGAAATTTCAAACTTAAGTTTCTCTACTCATAGAACATAATGCACATCACTTAGAGGCATCATGTGCCTTTTTTTTTTTTTTTTTTCCTCCCCTCATTTTAAGGTTTTGGTGCCGAGTTAATGGAGTTCTTGGCTCTAGT